TAAACGGGAGCGATGGTGGATCAGATTCAGCCAGGCTGATGCCCAGCGTGTGCCAATCCACCACAGTCCTCGTGACGGGAACGGAATCGGGAGCGCGACCGAGCTTCATAACGACGGGACGGTGGTCTGAATCTAACTCTGAAACTACTTCGATCGAGTGTAAGCGCAGAGTTACGTTTTTTAATAACGCTATGTCGAGTATATCCGGGCGATGCGCGATATTTAGCGGGTAGTGAGTCGGGGTTAGCGGAGCGACGATATCGAACGCGAGATCATCGACTAACGCGTCAAGCCGCCTGCCATTCGGGGTTGTGGTGTGTGAGTTCCACCTGATGTGTTTACAATTTAGGTCGCCCGCCAGAATGACAGAGCTCCCCATACCGAGCAGCGCCTCGATATCACTGCTTAGAACTATCTTATCCGGTGGAAGATAAACGGACGCGATAATACAACTAAGACTCTCCAGGTGCTCTTAAAGTATTTTAAACAAGCAACGATAGCGTGATTCAGATGTAGGTACAGCGCCATCTGCTAGCGACATTTGAAATCATTCACCAAAAGTTATGCTATTATAACGTTGTGCTATTATAACGGGCACCGCATCCTTCAGACCGGAAAGCATGAATGCTTCGCACCACCAATGCAATGCGATAACTAAGATACTGCAGCACTCATACAATACTGCAGCAGAAATCGTACACGAACTCCGATACAAATATTACAAACATTTTTTTCTCCTACCTACGCCGAAAGTTCGGTTTTCGTCCCGCTGTACAGGGAAGAAAGTCTAACTTTTCCTCCCTGGGTTCTGATAAGTGCGCATGCGCGTTAGTGTCTACGTCTGCTCTCACGCACCTAAAATACTCCGTTATTTTTGTGCTCGGGTAATTTGCAATATTGTGTTTAGTGTGAAAGTGAAATAAACAAAACGCAATAGAATTTAATAGTGAAGTATTAAACAAAGATGAGTTCATCAGACAGTTCTTATTCAATTAGTAGTTGTTTATTTAAAAATAAAAAATAAACACTTAAATTGTTTTTTTATGAGTGAGGGGGCTCGAAGGCTCGGGTGGTAATTTTACACGCGGTAGGAAATGTCCAACTTTTCTCCCTTGGTGCACTATATACTATACTGTTTACTTTTCACTGACTTGGCTCATAATAAAACAGTACACACCAGTTTAGGCTTTCAATACACCGTTAAAAACAGTAGAAGTATGTCGGTAAAGAGCTTGCTAAACGCTGTAGCTCTCACCAGTGACTCCCACGGGAAGAGAAGAAGTGGCGCTGCCCCAGGTCACTTTACAGAGCTCTACAGTCTATTATGGTTTTCGGTTAACTTTTTGAGAAGATCCGGCGAGATCTAGTAGACTATGTCTATGGGTTTGTTCGCTCGTCGAACTCTTCGTCGTAATTGACAATCGACGAGGATGGAGACCGGTGCTTGAGGGACCTAAAAGCACTGTATCTTCATATCTTCGAGCGATGGCGGCTTTGCGTTGCCCGGTTGCGGTCGGATAAGCCGGTTGTTTACCTGGGCTATTTTTGCGAAATACATATATGTAAATACTTACCAATCGCGGTGATAACAAAATTATAAGTCTGGAACAAGCTGAACTGCATCTCGTCCCAGTTAAATCTGTATCTAAGCGACAAGTACAGAACTGAGACTTCACCTGAAATTTGTAGATTACACATTTTCAATGTAAGCAAATAAAAATAACTCGTGGGGGAATATAGATTTTAGCTAATTACATTGAGTGTGGAGAGCTTTAATGTTCTTATTGAAATTCCTGCACAGTTTTTATTCACTAGACAGATACTAGCTCACAGCATATTTTCTCGTCGAACCCGTTGCTTGCGACGAAGGTTTCGGCCAGTATACTAACCCAGAGACACAGGCCACTGAGTTTCCCAATGGGTCGCGTTTTCGATTCGGTACTAGAAATTTTTTTTAACGCTTAGATGGGTGTTCTAGCTCACGGCTCACCTGGTGTTAAGTGGTTACCGGAGCCCATAAACATCTACAACATAAATGCCGCCACCCACCTTGAGACATGAGTTCTAAGATCTCAGTTTTGACAGTACAAGGGCTGCCCCGCCCTTCAAACCGAAATGCATTACTGCTTCACGGCAGAAATAGGCAGGGTAGTGGTACCTACCAGTGCGGCCTCCTAAGATGTCCTACCACCAGTAATTACGCAAATTATAATTTTGCGAGTTTGATTTTTATTACACGATGTTATTCCTTCACCGTGGAAGTCAATCGTGAAAATTTGTTAAGTACGTATTTTATTGGAAAAATTAGTACCTCCCGGCAGAATTCGAACTTTCGAACACAGATGCATACGAATGAACCGGACGTCTTATCCTTAAGCCTTGTTCGGACTAGGCGAGTATTTTAGTCGAGTACCGAGTAATTTAGTAGCTAAATGTGTCTGAACACCAAAAATTTAGTCGAGTAGGTTAATAAATAATTTAGTGAAGTCAATCCATTTTGTTCTATTTTTACGGGCGAGTAGTGCCTCCCACCACGCGTCCTTGCTCACTGACTAAACAAGTCCGAACCTGTTCATTAGTCGAGTTCATTAGTGGCACTTCTCAAATGGGTATCTTTGTGCTGAATTTGATTGAAGTGTATTTTCGTTAACAGAAAATTCACACAACTTACGGACATTCTCAAACTATTCTTAGTATTATAAGTATTCTTTGCGATCTCTTCCAATGCTAATTCCTTCAGAAGACATTTAGTAGCTCCTAGTTTATCTCTTCTATCGATCCATTTTCGTACCCACAACTTATTTTTCTTCTTCTTCTGAGTCGGTCTCTTCATTACTGAAGGTCGTGTGTAATCTAAGATGTGGACCACTCGATGCACAATGCTTCCCCACGTCTTCCTGTTCTCGGCAGTCTTTATTTTTCTTAATCACAGACATTTCCTCATCTACCTCTTCTAAAATAGCCATTACGATTAGCTTAATCAGTTTATTCACTCTATTACGTTGCAGCCTGTTCATCTTGCAAAACACCACTCACTTGTGTACTCTACTGGACCGTAATGCGAACGATTTCTGTGCAGTAGCGAGTAGTTTAGCCACTAAATTACTCGGTACGCTGGCATAGCCTCTCAAGGCTACGAGCTTAGGTGGGGAAAATAACCCAGCAAATTTGATGTTAAGTGACCTCCGGAGATATCACCTCCTAAAGGCCGCTACATAATAATCTGATATCAGCTTATTAATATTAATAGTATGAAGTAACAAATACTGTCCTCGTGGAACCCGTCGTTTGCGACGAAGGGCTCGGCGAGCGAATTAACTCATAGACAAAGCCCACTGAGTTTCTTGCCGGATTTTCTCAGTGAGTCGCGTTTCCGATCCGGTGGTAGATTCTGCGAAGCACTGCTCTTGCTAGGGCCAGTGTTGGCAACACTCCGGTTTGAGCCCCGTGAGCTCACCCACACCTATTAATCTACTAACCTAAAGTTAGGGTGAAGCTGAAATAGCCTCTCAAGGCCGTCGTGGCCTAAAGGATAAGACATCCGTCGCATTCGTATCTAGCGAGGCACCGGTGGTCGAATTCCGCAGGCGGGTACCAATATTTCTAATGAAATACGTACTTAACAAATGTTCACGATTGACTTCCACGGTGAAGGAATAACATCGTGTAATAAAAATCAAACCCGCAAAATTATAATTTGCGTAATTACTGGTGGTAGGACCTCTTGTGAGTCCGCAAGGGTAGGTACCACCACCCTGCCTATTTCTGCCGTGAAGCAGTAATGCGTTTCGGTTTGAAGGGTGGGGCAGCCGTTGTAACTACACTGAGACCTTAGAACTTATATCTCAAGGTGTGTGGTGCATTTACGTTGTAGATGTCTATGGGCTTCAGTAACCACTTAACACCAGGTGGGCTGTGAGCTCGTCCACACAACTAGGCAATAAAAAAAGGCTGTCAGCATAGGCAGAAAAAAATACTAGTATTTTTTTAAATAAAAAAATACTAGTAATTTTTTTTTACATCATCGTTCAACTTACCATATACAGGTCCATACAACAAACAAGCCGTCATAAGTATAACTATTAAATACAAACGGCGGTTGTCTTCAGTCTTCTTAATTAGCACTTTGAAGGAATCCTTCAATGTTTTAGGATCGAAGAACTCTTTCAAAAAATGGCAGCAGCCTTTGTTGTCGTACTGAAAGAATTTTTAAAAATTTTTTAGTGCATTTCAATGATCCTCCACTAGTACCTTATTTACGAACGAGTTGACCAGGATTATGGTAAGTTTTATAAGTTAATATCAAAATAAATCATTGAAGACAATTGAACTGGAGGTCATGCAGACGGGCAGTCCCGGCAAAGCAACCGATTTAAATTATTTTTTTGTTGCTATATTTATTTCTTATTTTGATATTTTAATTAGTATTTATTTCCTTTAAAAGCTCATATATACAAAACAAATGCTATTGAATTTATTGAGTCAGAGCTTTCCTGCAAACGATATTTGAAGTTGTTTTTTTTAAATAAAGTTACACTTATTGTGGCTTAACTATAATAGTTAGACATATGATGTCGCGACACTTTTTCTACATAATGATGTGTTCTGCAAAGTCTTAGTACATTATTTTATTCTATCACACCTAATCTTTTTACACCTTGTGTTATCTTAATGGAGTTTTAGTAAGGATCTCTAATTTTGCGAGGCTTGTTGAGAGTATTAAGCAGTAGGCAGCGGCTTGGCTCTGCCCCTGGCATTGCTGAAGTCCACGGGCGACGGTAACCACTTACCATCAGGTGGGGCGTATGCTTGTCTGCCTACAAAGGCAATAAAAAATTTTTTTTTGGCGAGTATATTATAGCCCATTTCACCCGGGAATAGTGTAGCTTCCCAATAGTGAAATAATTTTTCAAATCGGTTCAATAGTTTTGGAGCCTATTCAAACAAACAAACAATCAAATCTTTCCTCTTTATAATATTATTTTTTATAGATCTGTTATAATCAGATATTATTCTATATGATTTTAAACCTTTTTTGAAGTTAAACTATAATAATAAAATAGTTATTTCTTTCTATAGAAACAATTTGACCTTACTGTTGAATACTGTTGAATCATTTGTTGATAAAAAGTTTTAAAATGCTATCTTTCTATCTATCGGGCGTGGCATGTTATCTGTATGAGTTATGATTACTTTTTGGAATTTTGTCGTAGTGACTCATGCCGGAAAAGCTTCAATTTGACAAAACGTGTATCGTAAATGTACATTCTTTAGACTTTAGATACGACAAGCGGCCCGCTCCGGCTCCACGCGGGTCTTTAACAAAAATTTCAACGATATTTGAGGTTGTTTTTTTTTTTATAAAAGAACACTTATTGTGGCATAACTATAACAGTTAGACATATATTATGTTGTCGCGACACTTTTCGTAAATAATAATGTGTTCTACAAAGTCATAGTACATTATTTTATTCTATCATCAATAGTTTTCGCAGGGCACGCGATGGAAAAAATATTTTAGGTAATTTTTTACACCTTGGGTTACATTATTGGAGTTTTAGTAAGGATCCCTAATTTTTTTCATAAATGATTATAGCCTATGCCTCTCGGGAATAGTGTAACTTCCAAACAGTGAAATAATTTTTCAAATCGGTTCAGTAGTTTCGGAGCCTATTCAATACAAACAAATAAATCTTTCCTCTTTATAATATTAGTATAGAAGTATAGATTACCAGTTCAAATGAGATACGGAGACGGATCGGAATGGCAAAGGGGGCCATGAAAAGCAAGAGCAGTATTGTACGCACTTTAGTGTTCTCCATATTCTTATATGGCACAGAGACCTTTTTTTTTTTTTTTATCGCTGGGGAATCCATTTACGGATACCCGGTCGAGGGGGGCACAGAGACCTGGACCGTGAAGAAAGCCGAAGTGGTGCTGGCGAAAGATGCTAGGAATTCCCTGGACAGCACATCGCACCAACGTGTCGATCTTCCGAGAACTCCAGATAAAGACGAGGCTTTCCATCATTTGCCTACGTAGAGTTCTGGAATACTTTGGCCACATTGCAAGAAAGGATCACGGCAGCTTGGAGAAGCTAATGGTGACTGGCAAGGTGAACGGAAGAAGACCACGAGGTAGAGGCCCGACATGTTGGACTGACCAGATCCGCACTACCCTCGACATCACAGTTCACGATGCTCTACACTCGGCGGCAGATAGAGGTAAATGGCGTGGAATGGTCCGTAATAAACTCGTTGCGAGGAGATGGTCACGACTCTCAGTATTGAGGAAACCGAAGCAAGAAGAAGAAAGAGTTCGACCAGATACCGATTCTCTTGTTTATGTCCTTCTGCTATAAGACTCAGAGAACATTGCTGCTCATTCTCTGGTGAATCTCTTTCACAACATTTTGGAGAGACATGCGAGTGGTGGTCGTATATTAGGCTGACACACATCCAAACGCATTGAAACGACGGCTATCCTACTTAATCGTATCGTGTAAACAGTTGATTCCTTTGCTGCAGAAATAGGCATGATAGGCAGAACTATGACTAGAAGAAGCTAGTGTTTTTAACTTTTCCTAGTTTTAATTAACTATTAAATTAATTAATTATATATGTGGTGCCATCTCCCATGGGATGTTACGACAGTAATTCATTGTGATGTAAATATAACTACTAACATAGGAGTAAGTCTTACTAACAATTTGTATGAGTCATGGTTACTTGCAATAAAACATTATTATTATTATTATATATTATCATTAAATATTATGTTTTATATTAATTATAATTAACTATTTAATTAATTAATAAAATACGTAGGGCTTGATTTAGTCAATGTTTGAAAGTGTAAAACGTGTAAAAAATGTAAATAGTACTCACGTTAAATACATTATTCCATAACGAAACTCGAAACGAGAAGCGAAAAGAAATAATTACTCACCGTCATAATTTGCTCTTTAGTCCTCAATGGGTCCTTTACTCTGAATGTCACATACAAAACGTTTATAAAGTGCAAAAAAAGAGCTGTTCCATATATGGCATAGTACCCAAGATGCCTCAACATTATCCCGGATAACATCAAACCTAGCGGCATTCCGGCAAACGTACACAAATTGACGAGTGCCAACCTCTGTGTTCTGTTTTTCGAGGTAGTTATATCGCAGATATAGTTGAACATCGCCAAGAACATTATGGTTGTGCCCCCAGTGATCCCCGCGAAGAATGTATCAAAGAATATCAAAGCCTCAAGCGGGATTTCGTAGAAGAATACCACATTTAAGATGTTGCTGATGCATTGGAGAGTTTCGCCGATTATGGGAAATATAATGATGGCTTTTCTTCTGCCTGTCTTGTCGCTCCAGCCTCCAGCAAACAGCAGCATAGGGAGCGGTAATACGGACTGCAAATTGCTTTTCCACGTTAGCTGAGCAGAATAATGCTCCTGGACTATTCTCTCGTAATCAGTGAAGTTATTCGATTGGTTTTGTGCTCTCAGTGAATCACAGATAGCATCTTCGAGTCTTAGACTTACTCTACAAGCTTTTTCTAAGCCTAAAGTCTGTGTCGACATAGATGACAGTATACTAGCGAACAATACTATGAACGCCACTGGTTCTACTGTAATAATGCCCAGTAAGTATCTAAAGCCAGTTTTCTTCTTGATTTCAACATTATTCGGAGTGTTCAGAGCTTCTGTTTCTTGTATAGATATTTCTTCATTTAGTGTTGTGGCCATTTTGTTTTGCCTTACCCTGCATTAGTATATTTCTATTATGTTTTAAATAATGCCACCTTTTAGTCACACCTTTCAAAAAGTAATTGTATTGTTTACAATTAAATGTTAATTGCTAATGTAAATACAACATGAAAGTATTGATCAATAACGATTCCATTGTGTTTTAAACAGTAACAGATACGAGATTTCACTGAAGTTATATTTTTTGTAGAACACTAGTGATAAAACAAAAGTTATCTGATTATAATGATAAAATGAAATAAATGTCTATGAAGTTTTTTGTGACATGGATAATTGCATATTTGGTTACCGATTTATGTATTTAATCTCAGCAATTGTATTTTACTCCCGATATTTGCATTTTATTATGTTTTTTAGTTTGAAATGGTTTTTTTTGTCGGTAATTTTTGTTCTTTTTTCTTTTTTTTTTTTCGTTCAATATTTATTGAACGTTTTTAGTGATGTGGTAAAAATAAAAAAAAATAAGTAAAAATACTTAAAACTATTAATACGGTATTTTTTACGTTTTTTATTGTCATTACATTGTTTCTGAAGTTTCGAAAACTTTTGTTTTCGTGGTCACAAATAGTCTTTGAAAATCAAACACAGAGTAACAATAAAAAGGCGAGGTTAAATCATAAAAGTACTTTTAATATTTTTATGTCTTGAGAAAAACAAAAAAACTACAAAAAATTAATTATAAGGGACAGATCACTCGTAGGATTATCTGGACTATGGGAACAAGGTATCGATACACACACATGCTTATAGATTAATATCATACCTATATACACACATTTATTAAACATCCAGATAAAGATCACACGCATCTGTTCATCACATGAATGTTTTCCCGAAATGGGTATCGACATTTAAACATGACATACTTATAGGTTTTAGTTGTTAAAATGATTTATTTATTTTGAATCGAAGCTCCTCATGGGACGATGCGGAGGGGTACCCTAACCGGAAAAAAACGTCCGTAACGTAAGATTTTTATTAGTAAATGCACACAGTGTACGACTTAACTTTGTAATCGTACAAAAAATAACATATTTTTTTATAATATCATTCATTGACCACGATCTCAGAGCGTTCGTTTGCTAAATACACTAACTTTTATGCAAACAACCGTGAATGAAGTGTACCACAATAAGTTCGCACGTTACCGAATGACCGTGAGTTGTTGCGAAACCTCCAGTTTTATTTTCTTTATACCTCGAATAGAACTTAAAATTAATAATTTTATAACATGGAACTCCGTTCCTATCCGGTGTCCCACGACGCCACACATCTTTTTTTATTTTTTTATTTGGGAAACCAACAGTACAATTCAAACATAACACAATTAAATTATGATTTAAAAAAAAATAGCTAAAAGAATAACCAAACATGTTTCCACTATCAAAATCACATATAAGTAGAAAGTGAACAAAGGAAGAAAAAAAAAATAGAAATTTAGAAATTGAAGTTTACACAAAAAAACAAAAGCAACACAATACGCACATATTAGTACATCAACGTACACTATAATACTAAATAATACTCATCGGACAAAACCATCTTATAAATATTCCAAAATAGCATTTCTATATGCTATAAGTGACAAGCAAAAGATGTCAGCATTAGAGAACTTAGTATCATACAACCTACAAGATCTACGGACAAAAGAGTTAGAAGCATATTTCGTATAGTATCCTAGTGACAAGGAAATATACAAGATGTTAGAGTTTTCAGAAATCCTCCATAATATTATGGACACTCTAGCTGGCCACGCAATCAACGAAATAAGTGTTAAAAATGATAAAGATTTAAAATTATTATCTATTGAAGTTTTAGTGGTTTTTTTTACTACAACTCCGCGACACTATCCGGTTGGTAAATGGACCGTGAGTCACGGAATATCTTTATGAAGTTTAAGTGATTCATCAACTCTCCGGTGTGACTTCCAGTAATTTTTACCATGGTATGTCAAGAACGTAAATCTTTATGATTACCAATTAGAACCGATACGTATCTGAAGACAACGATAGATAGAAAGCTTCTTTGAAAAACCGGTACGTACGTCACGGTAATCCTCTGATTGTGGTTCATTCCTGATTCTGCGGACCGAATGGTAAACAGTCAACTTCGCCCAAAAGACGTCATTTCGGATCCTCTCGATCCACTAACGGTGCTTTAAGATACCCCAAGCACCGGACACCGTTCTCGTCGAACCCGTCGCTTGCGATGAAGGACTCGGCGAGTAAATTAACCTATAACGCAGCCCACTGAGTTTCTCGCCGGATCTTCTTAGTGGATCGCGTTTCCAATCCGGTAAAAAAAAACGTATTGTTGCGGCTTCTATGCACATTATAATCCACACGACGGGACAACATTTAGCAGCTCCCGTCCCAAAAATGTCTTGTCGAATCCTCTGGATCAACTCGCGGCTTTTTAGGCTCTTCTAACGTCCAACCTAGTCGACTTTAGGTAGCCGAAGCTGACAGCGCGCTGATGATGTAGTATGAAGACTGCAGTTGATCGTGTCGGGATTACCGGTTTGGGATTTAACGATAAAGGGATGATCTTTCACTGAGCGGGTCATATTGTTTGGTATACTGATGTTTCATAATGTTTTTTTTTCCTACCAATGCTGGTAGCCTTGAGGGGTTATACATCAGCTCGCTGAGTTTCTCGTCGGATCTTCTCAGCGAGTCGCGATTCCGATCTGGTAGTGGATTAAGGAACTTCGTTCCAAAAATACAATGAAGATTTATGTGCAGTACGTTTTAATTCTACGTAAGAGGTATTTAATTAGTTATTAAAAATTTTTTCTTCATGTACATCTTTCCCGTGACGCCAATACAGCCATCTGTAATAATAGAAGAAAAAAAAATTAGGGGAATAATCCCATGCGGTCATTTGGTCCCAAATAAGAGTCAATGAAATCAAACTGGGAACTAGCGACATAAATTTACAAGGATATAAATACTTAAAAATCTTTAACCATTTATTATACAAATATATTAAATATACGCATATGGTATTTTTATAATAAATGTCGGCGCGAATATGACTATTTACCTACTTATTATAAAAATAATAATGATTGAATGTGATAATCGGATCATCAACTAATTATTCTGTGTTTGTTAAGATGAGAAATTGATGTTAAACAGTTACTTTTATTGAAATACTTTAAAACATGTAAACACGCTCACATGTACCAAGCCCAATAAATACGGCCATACTGTCTAGCGCTTGACTCACTTCGATAAAGCGGCACGACACGAGAACCCTCTCATCGTGGCCGCCGGTAACTACATTCCCGATCCTGCGGAAAGAATGGAAAGCAGTCGACGTCACCCAAAACACGTCATCTCGGATCCTCCCGATCCACTAACGGTGCTTCTAGGTACTTCAAGCACCGGTCACCGTTCTCGTCGAACCCGTCGCTTGCGCCGAAGTGCTGGACAAGTAAACTAGCTCTCAGACACAGCCCACTGAATTCCTCGCCGGATCTTCTCAGTGGGTCGCGTTTCCTATCCGATGCGAAGCACGGCTCTTGCTAGGGTTCGTGTTAGCATCGTCGTCAGGTTTGAGCCCCGTGAGCTTGCCTACTAATTACGGTTACGCTGGAATAGCCTCTCTAGGCTACCAGCTTAGGTAGGGAAAAAAAAAAGCGCTTGAGCATTCGTGTCCGAGCCGTTGTACAGTACGGATCTCTCTGGAACGTTGTTACGCTCCTCGTGAAATATACGCAGCTCACCAAGTTCTCGTGAAGTTTGTTTCGGAAGCCCAAACATGAGTCATCGTCGAGAAAGTAATGACTGTGTTTTTAAAGACACTTTTTAAAAACATTACGCAGGTTACTCCTCCGTCAGTATCCACTCTATCATTGTTACTCCTCCGTCATATATAATTTTAAAATCACATTATTCTCGTGATTGAACATCTCAATAAAAAAACAGTTTAGTCGTAGGGTGTACGGAAATACGGCATCATTTTCCGGCTCTTTATAACAGGGATTGTCAAAACGTTTCTTTTTTTAGTTACAGAGTATATTCCAAGCTATGCGTGCTCACGATTAGCAATGGGATCTGATCTATGAGCCATTGCGACAGCTTACATTAAATTCCTAATTGAAAAGTAAAAGATGGAAGTTTGAAGTTGTATGAGAATTTAACGTTTTTCACACTCACATGAATACGAAGAGAGCAGGAAGAGTCAGTGCTGCTCCGAACAGGAACATTGCTCCCGGCAGGACGTCCATAGTAGCCGTATACAATTGCGTAAACATTGGAATGTATATTAACGGCATCATGACTTCAAGCTGACCGACTATTGAATTCAGTTTACCTTTAGAGACAATAAATATCAATAAGCAATCACTGTTATACTTTAACGCCTTAATCTCGCGTATATTTAAGCCATAAAATGGTACTGATGTTTACGTCCTCGACATAAAAACTGAGAAATAGATTTGAAGGCATTTTATGATATGCAAAAGGTCTCGTGGTCGCAATCCGATACGCTGGTCCGACCAAATCCGCACAACTCTGCATACAATAGTCTACGATGCCGCCGAGAACAAAGGAAGATGGCGAAACATCATCCATAGAAGGATAATGGGAGGTAATGGTCACGACTCTCAGCCATGAGGAATGCGATTCAGAGAGGAAGATGATATTATTATGCTAATGTTCACGCGTTCGTTACTTTGTCTTTGCAGTGCTATATCACATGAGGCCGACTCGCCCGGTTACGCTTTTTTTTTCGGGCCCGTGTCGATCCTCCTACAAGATCCCCGCGCCTAGGAGGCGCGCGGGGTATGTGGGAGTTGACGATCTGCAAGGTGTTGGGAGCAGACCGTGGGCCCAAGGAATTTTAGGGCTCTACCGCACTAAACGACTCCCCTGCACTCTTACACCCGACGTCCGATTTCCGTCCGGGGTCAGAACCCGGTCAGAGTAGGGGGGTTCCCGCGGTCAACACTACAACCAGACACGCGGCGCCAC